TATTGTAAAATAGTTTTTTTATATGTTGCACACCGGGTGAAGGATCAGTCGTGTAACATCGACGGTCGCTCCTGTAGGACTAGACCACACCGGACGGATCCAACACTAATTTGGCTATTTAGGCAGTTTTTGAACACCACTGGTGTTGATTTAGCAATGCCAAAAATCTTTGATTATATAATTTTGATTTGCATAGTATATAGTATATCGAAACGCCTAATGCAGTACGTACTAAATAACGATAATGCGTAATTTAAAGTAGCCAATAATTTGAATAATTTTAAAACTCCGTAAAGTATTATGGAAAATCGAACAAATTAGCTAGTGATGATATATATTGATCAAATTAGCATATTAATTATTGACTTTTAAATTATGTCCCTTGAGTCACTATTTTGATAGTTGTTTTTAGTTACGTAATACGTATCATATCATGTGGATAAATAAACGTTTGAAGAACATATAGTCTTTAACATTAATATTAAATGGAATTCTTCATAAGGAAATAAAATAACAGTTATCGTTGTTACACCATCTTGCAAGGAGTTTTCGTACAAACATTTTTTTCATTATAGTTCCTGTTCGCGATGTCAGATAGTTAAGTGTATGATTATTTGAACCATTAAAAAACCTTCACACCGACAAAACTTATTTTGCTCAAGCTAAATGTTTCAAAATCTCGAAAAATAAATAGCATACAACTATGCATAATAATTAAACAATCTTCTAAATGCCATTAGTCATATATTTTTGAAAAGAACAAAGCATTACCTAACTCATTACCTTTACATTATCCCATTGGTCAGTTTCAAAGTTAAGATCATAACACGTACGGTACGAGAAATCTAAAAACCACAATCTCTTTATAGAGACAAGTACGTATAAACAAGGTATTTCCTGAATTGTTAGCATCAATAAAGTGCGTACATAAAATACTTTATTGAAGTAGATAATTTAAGAAATATTTGATTTCAACTTTATGGAAGTTGATAATCATCTCTCCAGAGTTAATATAACGTATAATTAAGTAGGTATAATTAAGTAGTTCATTTGAAAGTATTTATGTACACACTTTATTGATTCCAATAATTTAGGAAATAATTTGTTTATCTTGTCTCTATAAGGAGATTGTGGTTTTTAGACTTCTTGCACCGTACGTACGTACGTAATTATATTTCAGAAGATCTTTATCTGGACGATGACTTAAAGGAGCCAATCTTCCAAGTGCCGTCTTAAAAAAAAAAAAGCTTTGCTTACCAATCAAAATTCAAGTTTAAAGCATGTGTTTTATAGTACTGTAGTTTTCCTTTTTTTTGAGAAATGTAACATTTCGCAAGTGAAAAATAAGGTTATCTTTATAAAAGAGTTATTTTAAAAGAGTTAATATTTAATATACAAAAAAAGCCAAGTTTAAACATTTACACACGTACGTATACGACGTACTTGTATGTATTACAAATATTAACCACATTCTTATTGAAAAAAAAAATCGCGTAAACATTTTTCTAAACATCATAATAATCATAAAATATAAACAAGTTTCAGAGTTGAGAAAATACTTTGCAATTAAGTTATTTAGCTGATTTAATATAGTATGCCAAGTTTTTATATAATAAAATTTTTTTACTAAACTAGGAAAATAGAACTTGATCTAATATCCGAAAGAACTTATTTTGACTTACGTAGTCGTCTATTTTCTACCAATCAAAATTAGAAAAAAAAGATTTGTACCCTTTAACTGCGGATTGCACTTAATTGGTTAATTATCGTGTGTTTAACATACAATCGTAACAAATACAGATCGATATCGGCTATTTTTCCCAACGCATGCTTAAGACTTGGTCTGTTCGTTTTCATACAGTATATACGTATTTTCAATTTTTGGGTTAGAATACGTAGTAGGTCTTATTACATTAATAAGTAAAAACATTCTGACAAAGCAATTGAATCTTATTAAGGTCTCGTGTTATAAAACTACTGTCATAACAACGGTTACATTTACGGAGATATTTCAACACCTTTTTAAGTTTAATCATTAAGTTGTCAAAACTGCATGCCCTAAAAAAAAGTTAGCATGAAAATTAAATTATGACATATAAAGTTTAACGTGAAGAAAAAATGTGTCAATTTATCATCATCGCATCAATTGATTCTTTGTATATGAAAATTACATATACCTTTAATCAATTAAGCTTACAAAGTATGTACTGCTTTTTCTCTATCAAATTACGAAATCTTATTTTTAATTGGTACTAAACATGCAACACTTGTTTTCCTATTATGTATTTATCTACATTCTTATCGTAATTCAAATCTACACTTATCGATAATTCCAAGTTTAATGAATTAATTTATTGCTGTGATTATTTACAAATGTCATCTATCTCCACGTTTCATATGCCTTAGAATTTACATGTAACTTGTATAAATTAAATTCTCTTGCTGTATTAGTGATAAATTTAATATTGTGTTATGTAAATACATTATATGTTTGTAATACTTATTAAGTTTGTTTAAAATAATTGAGACAATTGAAGTTGTGGTTTTTTGGTTATGTTTCAGTATTTGAATTATTTGAATTTATCAAACCTATAAAACTTAAACAGGCTTAACTTAATTCCTAATATTAACTCTAAAATAAACTACCTTCAAATTGTTAAGATTTTATTTATGTTAAGATTTCAATTTTAGCCATAATAAAGTTTTTAAAGAATAAAACCTCTGCATTAATTTGTATTATAATAAAGTATATAAAATATATAAAAGCAATTGGGTCATATATTATAAAAATACAAAGCTTTTATTCACTTTGAATTACAAAAAAATATTAAAGTGATTATCAGCGTTCTTACCATGTTCAAGAGCCTTTATTGTAAAAAAAGGTTTATTAATAAAAGGTATTATTTATAAAAGATTTTAACCAAGATAGAAGAATAAATATTACATAATAAGCTATTCTTTATAGCATTAAAATTTAGCAATTACCGTTTCACATTACTTTCATCAAGTACCCTTCTTTTTCAATATCAGATACCGCTCATTTTTTCTTAATATGCAATTTTTAATAAAATGCAAGTCTTAAAGTAGTAACTACAATCAACACAATCAACACTTTTTAAGTACAAAGGTTCTCCAAATCCAGAGGTTTATATCCAGTATTTTACATGTACTTCTAAATGTAGTTTCTCTTTAAGCACAGGTTTCATATTTGTCTCGTCACAATGTATTATAAACTTAAAAATCTATACAGTATAAACTTAAAAATCTATATATTATAAACTTAAAATCTATATATTATAAAATTAAAATGATCATATAATCTCTTTAAATAAAATTCTCAGAACCATATGACTGATTAGATAAACCGCATTTATTAAAATATACTTCTGTACTTGCGGCTGAACTTGCATGTATGAAATTTTTAAATAAGCCGTATATTTCTGTATTTATAAAAGGTGAATTATATAATATAAATCAATAATTTATCATATATATATATTTATATATTTATATAATATGAAGCAATTATTTATCATATTTATATATTTATATATTGCCATAGCTCTATATAAATCACTTAAATCACTTTTTTTTTGAAAATTACACCCTATATAAGTACATATACTTCCTTATCATCACTATCATCACCAATTTTAAAATACAGTAACACTTCCTTTGTTTACAACTTCCTTTCGGCTTTAATTTAAACATACATGATTATTATATGAGTCATGGACCTATATACTAAATTTATTAATTTATTATAAATATAACTAGATCAGTTTCGGGTCGTTCAGATCAAACCCATTAGGAGCACTAATGATTATTCATGGTTTTAAATTTAAATTTAGTTTTTTTGGAATAAAAGAATAATTTTCTATAGATATTAAATAAAAGGGTAAAGTGCGAAAATTAATTTTATTTGATTGTTTTAAAAAATTTTGTTCCAAGAACAATTTCCAAATTAATCTCAAAAATATTATCCCTTTTTAAGACAAAACTTTCCTATATTGATTTTTTAAAAGATCCTAATTAAGGAAAGAAAAAACTTTTTATATCTATCGAATGAAAAAAAATTTTTTTTTTTTTATTTTACTTCTCAATAGGAATTTCAAGACTTGCATTAAATAAACTTACTAAGTAAAACTCAAGCAAAACTCAAGCATGTATTTTGCATTTTTTGAGTGTTTATATTTTTATTTATATATGCAGAAATGTTAAACTCCAGGATTTTAATACATATGAAGTTTCTAGAATTTGCCAAGTTATTATACGCGGTTATGCGGTATGTCACCTACCGCATATACTTACGTACGTACAATAACGATATTTCTTATTATATCTTATTATATATTTCCACATATGTAACAATATTAATAAAAAAAACACAATATATAATACGTATATCGGATATCGATATGTTGTTTGTTCTCTATTTGAAGACATAATATTTTTGTTTAATAAATTAAAATAACAATAAATAGATTGATTTTATACAATTTAGGATTACACGTTTTTTTTGGTAGACCCGGCTACACATGCAGGTTGATGATCAGTTATAAATTGAATATAAAAGCCCACCAAAAAAAACACTTTGCAAAATGCCTTCAATATGCTTTGCAGGTCGTCTGTTAAGAGAGGCAGAAAAGCCCTTGCTGTTAGTGAAGGGTATATTGACGTAACAGGCAAGACACACATTATGACAGTTCGACGTTCCGTACCTCTCACACCAAAGAAAAAAACCGTTAAAAATGTTAATAATAATAATAATAATAATAATAAACCCGATTATTGTAAACGATGCGAATTAAATGATGAGTATATAGATGTGTTGAGTGAACGATTAGACAAACTAGAAAACTTAACGCAAAGGATTGTAGACGTTACAAAACTGAATAACGATCAAATCGTTCCTCCCGAGGCCACAAATTTTTCGGCCATGGGAATCGACGACCTAATTGAATTCTCGAATCATCTAAACGTATTATTATTCAGAAAGACAGATATTCCAGATATTCCAGATATTCCAGATATTCCAAATATTCAAAATCATATTCCAAATCAAATTGCAGTACCACAGTCTGCATGTTCCGAGTTTCTTCCGTTGGATTGGCAAATTGGTTTTGATCATAACTTGAATTTGTAATTTTTTTTTTTTTCTGAATATTAAATTTCTGTATATTTTTTGTTTCTTTTTGTGTTTTCTGGTCTTTTAAAAAATTCCAAATAATCCGAATATTCTTTCATCTTATTAAGGTGATATATATGATAGAATATTTAACGGAATTATTTAATTGGAATTTGCTTCAAGACTATAGAAACACATGTAATATATCCTTTGTCAAAAAAAAACATGAATCATTTCGTGGATAATTCAATCGATTTTAAAATAGAATATATATTTTTTTTTCTTATTTCATCGTTCTTTCCTATCTTTCGTTATCGAGTAACGTTATTTTTTCTAAAACGTAGAAAATTTCGTCACGTTTTATTTGTAATTAACATATATTACTGTTTTTTTTCCCCTTCCACATAGAATTTAACCAATAAGCAGTAAGATTTGTAATTATTTATCAATTT